TGACATACCTGGTTGAATTTACTCTTCTAGTCATGATGTTAGAGAAGAATTCATGTTGTCTGCAGAGTTTCTCAACGACTTCAAGAGTCATCTGATGAATTTGACCCATCGTCAACGTAGTGAAATATTTTTGAATAGCCATTATTATCTTGTTCAATTTTGGCTGAATTTCAGCAGAAAGAGATGCTACATAAATATTTTTTAGGTTGGATCATTGAGATGATAGAATCTTTTGCTCATTCTTTGATAGTGTTCTCCATATCCTTGATCTTCATTGAGTAACATCTCATTTCAAAAAATTATTGTATGAGTTTCTTATCAATTATTGAGTCATCTTCTATGAATTCTTCATGTAATGCTCCCAGTACTGCTGAAGTTTGTCTCAATTCATTGTTTTGTCTAACAACTTCCAAGTTATGGTACCATTCCTTAAGGGTTCCAGTCGTTCTGCATCAAAACTTTTGAATGACTTTGTAAGAATAAGATTCCTTAACCATTTTGGTATCTAACCAAACTTCAAATTCAATTAGCTTAGCTCTCCACTGACTTGGAGGGATATCATCATTAGTAAATCAAGGTCCTCCATTAGGCTTTGAAGAGGTGTTTGTTCTAATTGGACCAAAAATGACTTATTCATCGAGAGAATCATAAATAGGCTCTTGTCTGACTTCAGATTTGGAGGTGTTGATCATCAAAATTTGGGTCAAGTCTACATAACTAAGAACTTTTGTGTCTGAATCTTCAGATGAATACTCTTCAACAATTATAGGAGTATTCTTAGGAGATGGATAAGGACAAGACTATATAGTCATTTGAGAATATGAATCTTGAGAATCTTGGAAAACAAGATTAAATATATCTTAATGAGTTAGTCTTTTAGTGAGAGTAGAACTTCATGAGAAGATTCTTGAGAAGATGGGCTAACTTGTTTTTCTTTGTCTTTGTTTGGTTTTGCTGTTCCTAGCTTAGGTCATGGTCTATAAGTAGTGACTGTAGGTAAAGACCAGGAAGATTGTGTTGGTGGTTGGAAGAATGGAGACGGATTTTGGAAAGAGGAGTATGTAGGAGTTGAAGTAAACAGAGATGGATAATGATCTTTCTCATTCCTTTGTTGTTTGACTTTTGCTTCAATGTAATTGTCCATCTCCTATATCTAAGCCTTGAGCCTTTTGATCTCCTTTTCTTTAGCATGAGATAACTCTCCAAAAATGGTGTTTTGTCAATCTTCCTTTAACCATGAAAGTTCTGAGGAAAGTTGTTTATAATACTTTCTCAAAGTTGAGTTGAGATGTTGGAGTTTTTTATCAGTTTCTTCAAGATGTGTTGAGATTTTATCCATTCTGATCAATTCTTTGTAAGATGAAGTTTTGAGCTCTAGTATTTTCAGTTTGTTATTTTAATACTGCCTCAAATTGACTCAGTGACTTTGTCTTCTGGTTCGACTTCTTGACATACGACATGTGATTTGGTTGTCGTCTTGAATACGAGATCAATATTCCTTTTTAAGAGGAGGAAAATTCTCTTTATAGGATGTTGGATTAATCATCATGCATGGAATAGAAGGAGCAATAGGAGGTGGTGTTACAAAGGTTCTGCACTTATCTTGTCTTGGGAGAAGAAGACCTTTTTCTTTAAGGATCTCGACATAACGTTCATATTTTCACAGAGGGTTTGGTTTCTCTTGGTGATGGAGGCCAATCTAAGGACCTTTTTTTAGGTTCAAACCTTCTGTTAGGAGGGAAAGAAGGTTTGTATGATCCTCCTCCAAAGTTATCATTCTCATCTAAGTTATCGTCATCCTCATTAATGGTATCTCTGGTGTGATCACAATAATCACAGTCAGAATCACACATATTAGGATCTGCATCCCATATGAAATGTCCATTTATTTTATCTATAAAGACAGGCTTTCCGTTACGATATACCTTAGCGATACAGATTTTGCCTTCTTTAATGACAGGTGATATCATCATTGATTGAAATATGGAGGGCTTGAATTAGGGACATCTTCAGGATTTTTGAAGATGGTTTTGACAGTACCATTTATAGATTTGTTGAAAGTGGCTTCAGTAAACTGGATTGGTACGAAGCTTTTCATAGTTAATGGCCCACTACATAGGGATAAACTTTTGTAGTTTTTGTCGTGAAATGTTTATGGGAATCTAAACTATGAAAAATGTTTCATCTTAATTATTGTCCAAGACGAATAGAGCTTCATCTTTGCATGAGGATAATACAAGATTTATGACATGATCTTATAATCTATAGATTATTTGATGATGAAGGGTGACTGACAGTATATCAGCTATTTATTCAGTTCATGTGATTTGAATTTGAACTTTCTTTGAGATATAGTAGGATCTTTTAAACTAACATTGAAATTAGGAAAAATACCAAGACTACACTTCTGAACTCAGGTAGTGTTTGATTATTTATTTCTAACATGTCTTCTTATTTGTCCTCAGTATATCATTCCTACTATCATACCCATTTGAAAAATATTTATCTCTCTCTCTCTCTCTCTCTCTATATATATATATATATATATTTGTTTTATAAGATTAATTTATTTTAAAAATAGTTATAAAATCAAAATTAAAATAAACTAATTTTATCAAAATAAATAAAATTAAATAAGTATTATATATTATTATTATTATTTTATAAATAAAATAAAAAAATAATTTTTTTATTTTTATGTTCAGACTTTAAAAAAATTATTTTATATTTTATTTTAATAAACATGACATAAAAATATTAAAATAGTTGATAATATTTAAGCAAAAATATAATAATTTAAAAAAAATATGATGGTTTATAGAAACAATTGTTATATTTTTAGAAATTTTATAAATCAACTCTAAGATAATATTTATATTATATATATATATATTTAATAAGTTAAACAGCTGTGAATCCTTAAGAATGAATGTGAAAATAAATGTAAAAAAAGAAAAGAAAAAGCTAAATACAATGAAAAAGTTAAAGGAAATGACCCACCATACCTTCTAGTATCCTTCTTGTTAACGCGTAAGGGAACATACCTTCTGTTTTACTCGTCTCTTCAAATTATAGTCTTTGGACTTTATAGTTAGTGTGCACATGAATACAAGTTAAAATATATATCTTTAATTTATCTTTGTTAATTTATTAACAAAATAAAATTAATAAATTTATTTGATCTATATATTTTAAATAAAATTATATAACATTTTTTGTTTAAAAAATAATAATAATAATTTAATTTATTTTTAATTCAATCCGTAACGAATCATTCTAACTTTATTTATAGCAAGTTTGTTTATCCATCATATACTCCGGTGATGCACGTTTGTGTTCAAACCAATGCATCAGTTAAAACTTCACAACAACCTTGCTTATTGATTTGGGAATGAATAATTTTTCTTTTTCTAGTATCTTTCAATCATTGGCGTTGTGTATAAGTTCAAACAAACAAATGGTATTTTATTCAATGAAATGTACACAAACTTTAATTTTACCTTCACCAATTAGAATATTTTGAGAAATATTAAAATTTATCTCCAACTACTTATTTTAAACTCACAATTCAAAAACATCCAAAATAAAACATAAAAAAGATAAAAAGAAACACAGATAAATGGAGACAGAAAAATAATAATATTAAGAACTTTAAATCTGATTCCATGTGTCAACTGCAAAAAAGAATTTAGTCAAAAAAAATCATCATACTAGTTTCACTCTTTTTTTTTTCACCTACTTTAAAGCATTATTTTTAGCTCATGTCAATCAATTATGAAAATGGTAGTGCTCAATTTCAACACTTTCTTGTTTACTTACAGGCTAACTTCACACATGTCATCCACTTAGATCTAGTTAGATCTATTTGTGTTCATACAATGTGCAATTTTATTCATAATATTCTATTTATTTTATTTAAATAAATTTATAAAAACGTGTATTAATTATTGATTAACAATATTCCTCTCAACAAATAAATAGAATATATATATATATATATATATATATATATATATATATATATATTATGAGTCCTTTTTTAAAATCTTCACCTATAAGTTACATCCAGTAAACACATGGAAATGAGTACCTTCACCCGGAAACTTCTTTGAGGTGAATATCTTCACGCACGCGGAGACTAATAAATTTCAGTTTACTTTGCTTAAAATTTATATTTATTTTAAAATTATATTAGAGTGAGTTATATTCATTTTTCAATTTTATCATATACATAAATATTTTTTCTTTAAGTATTAAAGATCTCTTGATTATTTCAACATTATATTAACAACATTTATATATTATACTTGTTCATTTAATTGTTTAAAAATTTTAGATTTACAGCCAAAGTAATTATAATAAATATTAAAAAAATAGAGATATTACATTTATTGTATTTTAAAAATAAAATTAATTGAAAAGTAAGAATTTTCCAAAGGGAAGAATGCAAGAGAACATGTTTATACTCTAAATCTAACTTTTACTGGGTTGGATTTATGCACGCCAAGTGTGAACCTTAAAATAGGAGGGTAGAAAAAAATCCTTCACTCCAGACCTGTGCCAGTTCCTCCACACTTAACCGTCCACTCTTGTTTAATCTCCTTTTGCTTCATTGAATTCCCAACTACTCTTTTTTTCTCTCAATTTAATTTTTCCTTTTCATTTTCTGGGGCAGTCTTTCTGCAATCCACAGTTTGCTCAGATTATTTCATCATGGTCTTGTGATTGCGCTTTACATTTGGGTGGTGAGAATCTAAATTAGCCTTTATTTGTGCGTTTGTAACTTATCATGTTTATACACTGAAACATATTTATTTTACATTCCTGCTTTGACTGATTGCGAAGTTGGAGTCGCATGTTTTGGAAGTTTTTAATTTCCGTTTGTGTTTTTCTTCAATAACTGGAAGTTTGCTGGGTGTGATTTGTGAAGGGAAAAGAGTAAAACTGGGTGAGCTTGCATTGTGTGTGATAGAATTAATCTTTGGAAGGCATCTGGAACCATGCGAGTGTGGATCCTTTTACTGTTGCTGCTACTACTTCTTAGGAGTGATGATGTACACTCCGTTTCTGAGTACTTGATTGGTGTTGGAAGCCATGATATCACTGGTCCTGCAGCTGATGTCAATATGATGGGTTATGCCAACGGAGAGCAAATTGCATCTGGGGTTCACTTCAGGCTGCGGGCCAGAGCTTTTATTGTTGCTCAGCCTGATGGTAACCGGGTAGTATTTGTGAACCTCGACGCTTGCATGGCTTCTCAGATTGTTGTCATCAAAGTAATTGAGAGACTGAAAGCAAGGTATCAATAATGACTTTTTTAATTACTGTGATAATACCTTGTAAAAATTATAGAAGATTGGTTATAAGGCAATTTTTCTTATATTTATGTGAGTGGTGCTTGACTGCTGAGCCGGACAAGCCAATGTGGCATGTCTTGACAAATAAATGCTAAGCCCAATCGGCCAATGTGACATGGCTTGAACTGCCAAGCTGAATAAGCCACTGTGGCATGGTTTGACAAATAACCACCTACACCTTTCAGGCTTGGAACTTGAGGAGTTGTGGACCATCTGGTCGAGTAAATAGGTCACAGATGGCTGACCTGCACTGGTAAGATTGGTCATTTACTATGATCAACTCACTCTAATACGTTAACAGTGGAGACACCCTAAGGCCTTAGGACTCAATGAGCCTCAGATCTTGAGGCCCAGTAATAAAGGTCTAGAACCTCCTCGGACATGACTAACAACCACTCACCAGAAGGAGGCAAAACCGATGGAGGACACATTTGAAGAATAGGCATGATCGACCCAGATCATGCTTGATAGAATCTCACCTGGGTTTCTTGAATTTGTATTGAGCTTTAGGACTGTCCCGCGAGTGTGTTCTAGCATTAACACGAGCTGATGTTTCTATTTAATTTGTTTGATCTCAATCTTATGTTCCTGATCTTGTACTTTATTTTGTTTGACAGATATGGTGATCTATACACTGAAAAGAATGTGGCTATTAGCGGAATTCACACTCATGCTGGTCCTGGGGGTTATCTCCAGTATGTCGTGTACATTGTGACATCTCTTGGATTTGTTCGACAGTCATTTGATGTCATTGTCGATGGCATTGAGAAATGTGTAGTCCAAGCCCATGAAAATCTCCAGCCAGGATCAATATTTGTCAATAAGGGTAAGTAATAAGTCTTGTCATTCTTTAACAGTTATTTATCCCTTGGCTACTTATAAAAAATGCATACACAGGTGGTGTTACTTATAATCATGGTTGTTTTGCATAGTAAACAAGTTGCTTATTTCAGTAAGTTCATTCCAAGAAAGTTATAGGAATCATGAACGAGACAGGTTTTACTTTTTTCTTCTAAGCTGTTGGATTTCCCCAGCTCTATTTTTCCCGACATTTTTAACTGTATTAAGATTTTGTTTATCATTGTTTTGAAGCTATCAATGTGTTTGCTAGCAAGTGCACTTATTGGTAGCCAAATGTTTAGACTATTGTGCCATTTCTCCCTCTCTTTTGTGATATCACGTGGTTAGAGATAAATTATCTTCAACTTGCAGGAGAACTCTTAGATGCTGGTGTGAATCGCAGTCCTAGTGCTTATCTGAACAATCCTAATGAAGAGAGAAGCAAATACAAGTATAATGTTGATAAAGAAATGACTTTGTTAAAGTTTGTTGATGATGAATGGGGTCCTTTGGGAAGTTTCAATTGGTTTGCTACTCATGGTACTTCAATGAGCCGAACAAACTCATTAATTAGCGGGGATAATAAGGGTGCAGCTGCACGATTTATGGAAGACTGGTTTGAGGGAAAAAGGTCAGTAAGAATGGATTCTGCTGGAATTGAAAATGACGGAATCCCTCGGAGAATTTCAAACATAATTCCCAGCATTCATGAAAAACGTAAGTTTTTTGCTTTTGGCTACAATGGATGAACTAAGTAAATTCTCTTCCATTTAGTATATGCATTAAATAGCTTCAAAATTTATCTGTATGCCATGGGAATTCATTGTTTTAGCATGTTTGACCAAAGAATTTCCCTCCTTTTGTGTTAAAAACTATATAAAATATCTTATCATATTTTAGAATATATTAGAATATCGATTAACCTGTTTTTGCATTATCTTTGAAGATCTTTACCATATTTCCTTATTTCATCATGATTTGTTTCTTAATCAGTTAAGATTATGATTAGGATACATAAAGGTTATTCCTCTAGATTTTATGAACAAATAGAATACATTGTAAAACATCTCAGTTAGTATTGGTTCAATATTTTGATTTCTTTTATCTCATTTCATCTCTATACCTAAAACTCCAGGGTTTGAACATGGAGGATTGGTTCAATATTTCAAATTCTTTTATCTCTATACCTAAAACCCCAGGGTTTCAACATGGTATCATCCTCTGTGACCAATTCCTGCCATTACTATCCGCCACAACTTCACTATCAAGCTTCCTAATATAAGGAGTACTACATTTTTTTCATGATTCTTTCCTTCATATTAATTGATTCTTGGCATGTCAACCTTCTGACATCTTTCAGTGTTTTCACTTCCTTCTTGCAAATTCAGCCTTCTTCCAGCAATGCTATTCATTCTGGCCATCTCTTCTAGGTCATATCTTCAATTGGGCATTTTACTGGTGTTTTCGAGCAGTTTTCCAACAGTCACATCCTCCTTCCAGTTGTCCTTGGTTATGTTATTTGTTCCGGCCATTTTGTTCCTTGGTTTGTTCTACTGTCACGACTTCTTTGCAATGCCCCAACATCAATGTTTCCCTCTGGGTTCTATTATCCTCTTTTGTGCATTTTTCTGGCATGTTTCAAGTAGTCTCGGGCCATTGTTGTTTAACCCAATCATCTTTTCATCTAGAGGTTGTTTCTCCCAATTTTGTTTTGAACTCATTTGGTATTTGGGTCTGTGTTTTGGAGTTCCATTTGGTTTAGTGCTGCCCCAATTTTTTTGTTAGTTGCACCACTCTTGTTGTTTGGTGGCTGTACTTGGCTCCATGCATATCTCTTGTTCTTTGGCAGCTACACCTATCTGGTTGTGCCCCTTGTGTTTGGTTGTTGACTGGTTGAACTTCTCTAGTTTGGTGGTTGTGCTAACCAAAACACGATGGATATAACAAGACAAGGGTATACAACAAGCAAATAGAAATAAGCAGAACAGAGAAGTAATTGCTGTAGAAAATAAACAAGCCTTAAAAACAAAAGTTGTAGCTGAAACAGTCCAAAAGGTGAGAGCAACCACCAAACAACAAGAAGAGCGTTACTAGTGCAGCTAACAAAGATTGTACTTGGGTAATGGGTTGGATTGTCTCATGTAGTTAGTTACATGGTTTCTGAACTCTGATCTGGTGCTTCTAACTTTTACTAGTCTTGTCATGAAAGTCCTAATACTGGGGAGTTAATAGAGTTCTTTATGTACCATACAAGATGGAAATTTCCTAGAATGACTGATTGAGAAAACTTGTGTTGTGAGACATACATATGATACCTTGTTTTATTTTATATATGCTCTATAAATAGGTCATAAAAAACATGAATATCTGGTGATAATAATAATAATTAATTAATGAATATGTTTTTAACCTCACTTAAAATTTATTGGTACAGACCATGAATTACTGGAGCTTGCTGCCTCATTCCAATCTTCTCCTGGTAAACCTGCAACCAAAATGTCAAGTGTTGCTAGACGTGTGAGAGGTGTCCTTAGGCAGGTTGACAAGCCTATTTTTGTATCTGCGTTTTGTCAATCAAATTGTGGGGATGTTAGTCCAAATGTGCTTGGAGCTTTTTGTATAGACACTGGACTACCTTGTGACTTCAATCATAGTACATGCGGAGGAAAGAATGAATTGTGCTATGGCCGAGGACCTGGGTAGTTTTTTTATTGCATGCTCAATTCTTCTTTAATTTTTACGATTTTTCCTATGAATTTTGCTAAGTTGCTCCCTATAAACTGATGTGACAGTTATCCAGATGAATTTGAAAGTACCAGAATTATAGGTGAGAGACAGTTTAGGAAAGCAGTGGAGCTATTCAACGGAGCATCTGAACAGATTAAAGGGAAGGTTGATTTTCGACATGCTTTCATAGATTTTTCCCAGCTTGAGGTAAATCTTTCAAAAGTAGGAGCTTCTGAGGTCGTAAAGACATGCCCTGCTGCAATGGGATTTTCATTTGCTGCTGGAACAACAGATGGACCTGGAGCTTTTGACTTTAAGCAAGGTGATGTTGAGGTAACCTCCGATAAGACCCCATGCTTAACCATTATCCTACCTTATTTGTATGCTTAAATAATTTTTAAAGTCTACTTATTTTTTCTAATTTTATGTCAGGGAAATGATTTCTGGAAGCTGGTCCGCAATTTACTTAAAACACCAAGCCAGAAACAAATAGACTGTCATCACCCAAAGCCCATTTTGCTTGATACTGGTGAAATGAAGCTACCATATGATTGGGCAGTAAGTTACTCATTTACGCTGAATACCATGTGCTATAATCTCCAGGTTCAGTTCAATTATTTTCTGTGTTATCTGATTTAGAAAAGATGGAAGATTGATGGCATAGGGACTGTTTCAGTAGATTATTACTTCCTCAGAGCATTATAATACTTGATCAATATTCGTATCTTGTCCGCTTTAATTTCTTTAGTGAATTCAAATAATATCAATGAAAACTGTGTTAGGTAATCCAAGTGAGTCTGAGTCCCACGTTGAGTAAGAATGAAAAAGTTGGGCAACATATAGGGAAGTAAGACCCATCATCCAATGCTTTAAGGCTTTGCGTTGAGAATGAGGTCAATCACTTATATGAGTTTGACTCATTTCTTATTGGTGTGTTGAGTAAGAATGAAAAAGTTGGGCAACATATAGGGAAGTAAGACCCATCATCCAATGCTTTAAGGCTTTGCGTTGAGAATGAGGTCAATCACTTATATGAGTTTGACTCATTTCTTATTGGTGTTGTTTTTCTAATCCCTTATAATATCACTCTTACATCACGAAGTTTTGTTTTTACTTCAGATAGAAGTCCTATTATGCATTCTCCAGTTATCATGGCAAATGTTTTTCCAAGATCTGTATTTAACGTTTTTTGATGATGGAAGTTCCATTTTTCTCTTCACCCATTTTCTGCGCCACAGATATACTGCCTTTTTTAGCCCCAAATATCTCTTTCTCACATCACAAGGTACTTTTACTAATGTGAACCTGTATTCTCTCATGTTCATTTTGCAGCCTTCAATACTTCCAATCCAGATCCTCCGAGTTGGGCAGTTTGTTATTCTTAGTGTACCTGGAGGTATAAGCTCTTAATCATAATTTTTTACTGTTGTTGTTGTTGAAATTTCTATCCTTTGCATTTTGAAACATTTAAGTTTCAACTAGTTCAACCTTTGTCGAATGAGAACATGTTGATCTGCTTAATGAAAATCAAGCCCCTAAGTTGTTGAACATCTTTCAGCTGAAAAGAGAAAAATTATGTATATGTTGAACTGTTGTCATCTTGCTATTTTGATGATATGGATTCCAGAAGTACCAGGTTCAATTCAAAGGATGACTGCATCGTAGCTATTAAAGTCTTTCACTTTTTGTGTCTAAATGTTTTAAGATCTGATAAAGTCCAAAATGCAATGTCTTGCTTAATATGTTGTGCTATTATATTATATACATTCGATTTTTTTTTTTTTTTTTTTACCCTGCAGATTGATATTTGTATTTGTTTACAGGTGTTTGTGAATTGTGAGAAAATCCGGCCTAAGTATTATTTCTTTGGATGCTTATGCTTCTAGTAATTGTTTTCATTTTGACAGAATTCACAACAATGGCTGGGAGGCGTCTTCGTGATGCAGTCAAGTCAGTGCTAAGTGGCAACAAAGGCTATGGTAGCAACATTCATGTTGTTATAGCAGGGTTGACCAATACTTATTCACAGTATATTACTACTTACGAAGAGTACGAGAAGCAAAGATATGAGGTCAGTTACAGTGTTGTGAAAAGAGACATGAAGCATGCGAGACAAGCATTTTTAGATTACTTTAGCAAGATTGAATGCAACATTACTGCAAGTTTACACTTTAAGCTATGCAACACTTACTATCAAATAACATAACTTCATATTGGCAAGAGATGTAACCATTATGTTCATCTTTATAACTTCAATTTGCATGTTACCAGGGTGCTTCCACGCTGTACGGTCCACACACACTGAATGCTTACATTCAGGAGTTTACAAAGCTTGCGCGTGCTCTCATCAGTGGTCAGCCTGTAGAATCGGGCTCTCAACCCCCTGACCTCTTAGATAAGCAAATTAGCTTATTAGCACCTGTTGTGATGGATGCAACCCCTATCGGTGTAAGTTTTGGGGACTGTAGCTCTGATGTTCCCAAGAACTCTACCTTTAAACGGGGTGACATGGTATCTGTTACTTTCTGGTCTGGGTGCCCACGCAATGACCTTATGACTGAAGGCACTTTTTCCCTGGTAGAATTCCTCCAAGGCAAGAATACTTGGGTTTCTGTTTATGATGACGATGATTTCTGCCTGCGCTTTAAATGGTCAAGACCATTTAAGCTTAGCACTCACAGTAAGGCCACCATAGAATGGAGAATCCCTCGGGATGCAACTCCTGGTATATATAGAATCAAACATTTTGGGGCTGCTAAGAGTCTGTTAGGAGCAATTCGTCACTTTACTGGTTCTTCTAGTGCATTTGTAGTTACGTAGTAAAGGGAGGGATAATAATTGATTATACATGTTTAATGGTCCTTACACCATGGTAGAACTGCATTGTAGCAGACTAAATTAAATCAAGATGATTCCACGGCTATCATTTGTTATCAACTATTCTTTATCTGCTTTCCTTCAAATTCTCTGTAGCTAACTAATTTCTTTATATTTTTTATTTGGAGGGAACATAACGATTGATCATAGTAGTTATCCAAGTTATTTGTGGCTTAGAATTGATCTTTAAACACAGTTAGCCACTCTCGTGTTTAATTGTTACATACATATAGGTCATTTGTTGGGAATTCTTAAACTTCAATTATTTTTACAAACGATTTTTTATTGGCTGGTATTGGCAAGTGAGTCGCGCTTTCAAGAGATGCCCGGAGATACCGTGAGCCGAGGAAAATCACTGCGATTCTCATTTTTCTTTTAGAGTTTAATTTTTAAATTATAGTTAATGTAAAGATTTTTTTATTAAAACATTAACATGTGAAACATCTTACATGTCAATATAAAGATTTCACTTAAAAATCTTATCACATATTTCATAATTAAAAAGTAAATTAAATCGTATTTAAAATTAATACCGTAAATCTATATACTCAAGGGTTACGAAGAGAAATTATTATTCGGAAAAAAGAGAGGAATTATTACAAGATTCCATATCACCATAATCTTAGTCAAATTTTACATGACACAGTTAAATTTTGATGATTCTTTTATCGTAAATTAACAAATTCAGTTCTTTATAATAAATTTTCATATTATAATGTGGAAATTGATGCTTCGTTTTTGTGTTATTGAAGTCTTTTAGTATCAATTTTAACATCATAATATTTAGTGCTACCTCTACTAAAATTAGACTTCAATTTCTAAATTTAGTGAGTTAAAATATTTGATACTGTTAAAAAATAAAGTAGGTAGATATATCTTACAAAAAGTATGATAAAAAAATAAAAAAGCAAGGGCGTTTGCGAGGGGAAGAAGAAAGCAAGGGCGCACACACACATCTTGTGAGGTGTGAGTGAGAATTTGAACGGCAAAAGAAGACTCAGCGGATTGTGGAAATGTCAGTGCAAGAGTACCTAAATAAGCACTCACTTTCCCGAAGACTCGAAGATGCCGTCAATGCCGCCGTTAGGGCCAAGACCGCCGATCCCGTTCTCTTCATCGTATAACTCTGCCTCTCATCTCTATTCGTGTTTTCTCTTTCTTTCACTTCTCATCGGAATTTCTTAGCATGCGTTTTTGCGGTGACCGCAGTCGCATCACATGAAAAAAGCAGTGCAATCGGTGATAACAAAAGTTAAGGCGAGGCAGATCCTCGATAGCAGAGGGGTTCCAACCGTTGAGGTCGACTTGCACACTAACAAAGGCGTGTTTCGCGCTTCGGTTCCCAGCGGCAACTCCACCGGCATGTAAACCTTCTAACTCTTACTCTTAATGCAATTCTCTCACCGTTTTATTAATCGCTCTCTTTCAATTCATTGCCGATTTTGTTGGTTGATGATTCGTTTCAGGTACGAAGCTGTAGAGCTACGGGACGGAGACAAAGGGGTGTATCTCGGTAATGGCGTGGCAAAAGCTGTTAAAAATATCAATGACAAAATATCTGAGGCGTTGATCGGTATGGATCCCACGCTTCAATTGCAGGTTGATCAGGCCATGATAGACCTCGACAAAACTGAGAAGAAGGTGATTTAACATTTCTGCGCCATGAAGTCATTCAATTGGTTGTTAATATGCCGTATTACATTTTGTTTCGTGCAATGCTTCGATTATTTTACATTTCAAAATGTATCTGTCTACTAATTGGATACAATGCTATGAAAAGGTTGAATACTACTATAGTATGGTTTTCCTGTCTTTCTCTAGTCAAGGATATATGAGTTTTAGCTTTTCTTAGTCACGTTGATAAATGGATACAACTGAGATCAGCAAAATCAACATTTTGTTTCTGATTCTGTTTCACCAAAGGAATGGAAATCTTTATCAGATTATTTATTTAGGAAATGTTGTAGTATAGATGATTTTGTGTCTTTGTCAGCCACAATCATAAAACTTTAGCTGTTGGAAATATGATAAATTCATACAGGAATTTAGAGAAGCATTATTTGCGTTTCACTACTTATGTTCATACTTAGTTTCCTTTTCAGTTTCAAATAGTTCAAATCCACAATATCTTTTTTTTTTTTTTTTATATAATTTCTTGTGTAATCTTCTTGTATATTCTTCTGGAGAGCTCGATGAAGGCAGTTCGTGTGACTACTGATTCTGATATCGTGCATTTGTTGTGAACAGGACTTATACGTGCATGTTTGAATAATTCATCTTAACGTGATAGTTCTCCCAATTTAATATATATGTATTATATTTTATCTGTTCTGTTTCTAACTTTCTTTGCAGGGGGAACTTGGAGCTAATGCTATATTAGCTGTGTCCATTGCTGCTTGTAGAGCTGGTGCTGCTGAAAAGGAGGTATGGCTCTCTGTCAATTAATATTTCTAAAAGTTCATTTAACTTTTGATCTGGATATGAGTATATGTTCAGTCATGATATCATGAATATAAAGACGAAACCCTTATCAGATTCCACTTTACAAGCACATTGCTGACCTGTCTGGAAAAACCAGCCCAACACTTCCTGTGCCCGCTTTCACAGTCATAAGTGGTGGCAAACATGCTGGGAGTAATCTGGCAATTCAGGTGTAGTTTCTTTTGCAGTTTAATTTCTTAGACATTCTCATTAGTGTTTTACTAATGTTACCTCTATTAGGTTTGTGTTCCTTTCCTTTAATAAACTAATGAACATTGAAACTAAATCACAAATGAACATGGAAATATTATATTATATGTCAAATCAATCATAAAGTAACCTGGAGGTCATATGTATTCATTATAACTAGCTCATACATTTTTGTTGTAACCAACACTGGTTCAATTCTTTATGGTTCAATTTCTTGTTATGTTTGATTTTATTTTCTGACATTCTAACATTAAGAAATATAGTTTCTTATTTGATTTTGACTCTTTTAGATATGAAATATTTCTTATATAATTCCTATTAGGAAATCATGGTTCTCCCAATTGGAGCAAGCAAATTTGAGGAAGCACTGAGAATGGGTACTGAGACCTATCATCACTTAAAGGTGGTTTTGCTTTATTTCTTCTTTATTTTACCCAATCCTATTGCTTTTACATTCTGCCTTTAGGGACCTTCTTCTCATAATTGCACTCTTTAGAATATTCCCTAGTTAGAAACATATTAAGTTTAGCTGCATGGAAATTGGTTGTATTGTTTTTTGGCTTGCTTACCACGACTTAGATCCTATGCTATTTCTAATACTATAGTCTTTACCTTTGGTTTTGCTTACAATTCCTATGGTGGTGATATTTGGTCTAAGTTGATTAAGCAATCCAATCTGTCATTTCCCACCCCATAAATACGTTTTTTTCATCAACAATGGATTAAAGAATATAAATAGTAACTTGCAGATATCATGTTTAAGCTGATACATTTATTTATTGTTGATGACAAAAGGGCAGGCTGTCATTACAGAAAAATCTGGTGCACATAACTGTAATGTTGGTGAAGATGGTGGCTATGCTCCTAATATCTCCAGGCAAGATTTTTATGTTATTGAATTATTTGATATCTACTGCTTTAAAAAATTAAGGACAAATACAACAAAGCCTTTTTCCACTTTGTGGGGTCAGTTACATGGATCACATGGCACAATAAATTTCCATGATGTTCTTCACCGTTAAATGAATAACAAAAGGGGGGAACAAGTCTCAATTTTAGAAGAAAGGAAAGAAAACAGAAAATATCTCCAGAAACTGCGGTATAGAGAATTTTATCTAATATACTGACCATTACACCCATGAATCTAGTTGGTAATTTAAATTGTGGTTTTAATTTTGAAATTTTAATTTCTCTAACTGTCCAGTGTCTTTTTTGGATACATTGATATGATATCTCTATTCCTTAGAAATCTATGATAGCTATGTGATGAAAATAGTTTTACTTGTATTTTCCTCTTGAACTAGCATTTTCTTTTAGTCAACATTTTGAACTGCTGCATGTGATAATTACCATGTTTTCTTCTACATGGTAAATGCATGTTATTAATTATGATTACCATCATTTTTCTAAGATCAATAAACCAGCTAGTTTCCTATTTGTTTTATTGTATGAATATTTTTAAACTCAGGTGAAATATAAAAACATATCTTAGACTCTAAAATGTATAGAGTTAAATAGAGAAGTGGTTTAGAGTTATAAAAAACTATATGCAAATTATTTCCGAAGAATTTCGACTATAAATTTTAAAGAATTTGAGAGTGACAAGTCATTATTGAAGAGAGAGTACAATAATAGATTAAGTTACTTTCACGGGAGGATACTCTAAAAATTAATATACAAGGGTGGGTTGTATTAATTTTATCAACTTATTAATGTCTAAAAATTTGAAGGTAATTTTCTAGATCTTTAAGCAACTAAATATTTAATATCAAGCTACTATAATTTTCAAAATATAAAATCAATTAATATTTATTAAATTTAATCTTTTTATAGAAGTATTTCTCATCTCTTAAATAATTACCTTTGAAGGTGCTTTTATTTAATTTTATTTCTAGTTTTTAGTTGACTGTATTTATGTATCATCAGTTTTAGAGAAGCCCTGGATCTTGTCAAGGAGGCGATTAGCAGAACTGGTTATAATGAGAAAATAAAGATAGCTCTTGATGTTGCTGCTACAAATTTTTGCATTGGTAAATATAAATTTCTGTTCCTTGTTTACTTTTAGATTCTTGAGAAGATGAAATTTTGTGATACTTGCTTGCTTTAATGTTGCTTATTGCTATTATAGTGAGACTGTTGCAGCAGTGCTATGCTAACTGTTTTACAGCATCACTCACTGAAAAAACAAACAATTTATATTACTTTGCTGTCATGGCATAATAAAATTAGTCTTTCTAAGACTTATAAAAATAACAATCTTATTTGTTAATAATACTTTAATAAATGCTATAAATACCAATGAACATCAGGCATCAGCTGTGGTAATATGTTATCTTTATTTAAATTCCATTTAGGGATGTGCGATTTTCAACTATGTTTCTGAATCTTGTTATACAGGTATTTATGTGATAATCGTAATTTTTTTTTGGTGGGGGGGAAGGGGTGTTACAGGTTACCAATTTTAATTTATTTTGAGTTTACATACTTTTGAAATTTAGAGTGATAAATAAGGGTTTGGAAGAGTGAGAGATAGACAGACTTTAAAAGTGGCGTAGGGTGAACATGGATGATTTTTTTAACCTTAAGATCCTTTTATCGAATTTTGTCATGCTTGATCATTTTAATGTTTTATTGTTAACTAGTATTTTAGCCTGTTCAATGCATGGGATAAATGATTATTTTATGCAACTAAAGTTTATAGTAAATAAATATTTTTTAATATAATTATAATTAATTGAAATTCATAACAAATGAATACTTTTAAATATGAAAATTAACTCTTAGATTTTTTTTTATAAACAGTTTATATTGGGATACAGAGGTTATTTTAACTATAGATTGTTTATTTTTAAAATGAACTGAAATTAAATTTAGGAATAAGGTTGAAAAATATAGATTAGAAGAGATCAGGTGTTAACAAAAATCCTAAAGTGTTACCATAAATAAATCTCGTTAACAGCTTTGGCTGAAGAATAGTTCCTAAAATTACTCTTATTCAAGGTAACAATTCTAAGTTATATATAGAGGATAGTAATACTATGCTTGATACTAAATTTATAAGGAAAGCTACTTCAAAATATTATAATATTTCACTGTTGATTGTTCTCTTCTTTTTCTCATGCTAACACCTTTTTCTTCTACAACCTTCCTCACCTCATGGTGTTAAAACCCCCTTGTACGTTTTGACTAATTTTAACCATGTTATGCTGTTATGTGTAAATGTTTTTTACCTGACACAGGTAAAAGATATGATCTGGACTTTCAATCTCCTCAAAAATCTGGACAGAATTTTAAGTCAGCAGAGGATATGATAGAGTTGTACAAGGAACTATGCTCGGGTACGCCAGTTTATCTTAACATTTGCTGGAACATTATCAATTATTTAGCCTATGCTTTTTGTTTATTTTGGACTTTCTTTTTGAATTTTTAGAATACCCTATTGTGTCAATAGAAGATCCATTTGACAAGGAAGATTGGGAACATATCAAGAATATCTCAAGTCTTGGGATTTGTCAGGTATTATTTTTTTAATTTTAATCAATTAATATTTTGTTTGAGTTAATGTGGATTCAATCTCTGTACTAGTTTATTTGTGCAGCGAAAGATTGTGGTAAGAAGTAGGCCTTACCATTTTGGAGTTTGCACAATGCTTTTAATGATAACAATGGATATTTTAAATAAAAAATAATAACTTATTGTTAGTGTATCAATGCCACATTGACTCATTAGCAGGTTATGGGGGCAAGGGAGGAATAAAAAGATCATTAGATAGGTTATCTGCATATTACGACTATGATGTCTAGTTTGCAGAAATTGGCTACTGATTGGAACTTCTGTTTATGTAGTTTTTCTTTGTTTGAATGGTTCTGCAGGTAGTTGGGGATGATCTCTTGATGTCAAATGCAAAACGCATCGAGAAAGCAATAAATGAGTCTGCTTGTAATGCTCTTCTACTTAAGGTAACTTCTGTTACTTCAATTAACGTCATGTATATATATATATATATATATATATATATATATATATATATATATATATATATATATATATATATATATATATAGCAGTGACACCATTTAAATGCTGTAACATTTCCCCTTTGTACTGTTTTTATAAGTCATTTGAGAGTATTTTAATTCACCTTCTTTTGTTGTTTTCGATCTATTTTCTTGAAGAAAATAAACCTGGAAATTTGATGATTTACTATTGTAATCTAGGTCAACCAAGTTGGAACTGTTTCAGAGGTCATTGAAGTGGTGAAGCAGGCAAAGGAAGCACATTGGGGGGTGGTAACTTCTCATAGATGTGGTGAAACTGTAGACTCTTTCATTGCTGATTTATCTGTTGGCCTTGCTTCTGGTGTGATTAAATCAGGAGCTCCTTGCAGAGGAGAGCGGCTAGAAAAGTACAACCAGGTCTCTTTCTGATTCTTATGCTGATGATTTTACTGCATTATTGTCATGCTTCAAGATTATTTATCTACTAATTATATTCTGTCAACTGACTAATTTCCCATCGGAAGGTGCCTGTTTTCTTTGATAGGTGATATCATAGTGTACAACTGGTGATTTTATAACCTGTAGGATTTTGTTCATTGCTGGTTGTGAATATGCTAATTGTTCTGTCTATTTTTACAACAGCAGTAATACTACTACCTGTAGATGATATTCCTCTAAGCTGCTCACTCTATCGGGCTTGATGTCGAAATTTGTGTGGATTTGTAGATGGTTTTTTATTCTTTATTCTTTATCCTGCTGGAAGTTCTTGTTTAACTTCACCTCCAAGTCTTTTTTCGAATGCGATTTCTTCACCTTTTTTTTTTAATGGTGAACAGTTCTAAGTTTATTTAATATTTTTATTTTAAGAAACCTTGGGATTACCTGAGATCCTTTTGTTTCGTTCCTTTTATTATCTTTACAATCCATCTTAATGTTTCTTCGTCCGCCTGTAACTAGTGAAGAATTTTCAGTCAGCTCTTTAACCAAAAGGGATTTGAATTTCTTCTTACTTCTAAGGTAGTTTGGTCTATTTTCTTCCGGTCTCTCTTAAAAGGAAAAAAAAAAAAGAAAGACCAATAACAATATCATAGAAGCTCTTAAAATTAAAAATAGCTTTTTGAATTGAACAAATGCTCAAGAAGTTGAACTTGTATATTATTGAATGTTGCTTTTAGGAACAGAATCCAAAAAAAAACTAGTAAAAACTTAATTTGTTTCTGGCTCTCATTTAGAGATGAAGTTTACGATGTCGTGTATGTATTGTCGTTTGGTAAGTAATGAAGGAAAAAAACATAACATTTACTATCTGAATCTTGATACAGTTACTTCGGATTGAGGAGGAGCTCGGAGATCAAGCAGTTTATGCTGGTGAAGATTGGAGGCAATAAGAATAAACAATTTCGTCAGACTGGTCTGAGATATGATTTTCTTCTTTACGAAGCAAAAACTTCGTCACTCTACCATATTCATCAACTGCTGATGTTCTATTGCCATAACTGCTCCTTCACCTTTTGTGCCATTGGGGTTTAGAGAATGTTTCAATGGGTATTAACTATGTGTACAAGATGGTGCGGCCTTTCTATTTGTCTATTTTTTATACAGGACAGAAAGTCAGAAACTTGAACAAATCAAACACTAAGTTAAAATTGTTCTGGACAAGTGATATTGATAATATGTTATCTCTTTTTACATACTTGACCGCAGGTTCAGATAGAATTTATCATTTTTACCTTAATTTTTTTTTTTTTCATTTTATACTTTCCTGTACCTTTATTTTTTAAATTGATATGATAATCAACATGGAGAATAGGTGCTATTTCATTTCATCGCTGTAATGTTTTATTCTTTTCTTCCCAATATTTACTACACATTTTATAATTCTTTTGAATAATACAGACTTTGTGGGTACATTTGTTCTCTTTAATATATCGTTCAGAGAACTGTGCGAACGTCAATACCGTGAGCCTTGAAATTTATGGATAGATGTAGTTGAGTTACTAATTATACCTTTTTTAAAAGTCTTTGATTTATCCTTGGACAGTTTTATCAATCTACTCTTGTATTTGCTTTTGATCACAGCAAAGTGAAATTCATAATTCTACCCAATGATTTTTTTATGAAACAAATTTTTTATTTAACTCTATTCCAATACTTTCCTACCCAATGAATTTTTTATTTAACAAATTTTGAGCACGTAACAGATGATAATGCACAGTAAACATGTTATCTTGAACATATAACGTGTATCTTGTATTAATAATGCAATGTTATTTAATTATGTCTTTTGATTTTAAGATATTGCATCCATGTGAGTACATTTAAATTGACCGAGTATATGTATCAAACAATTTATACATCTTAAGTTAAAAGAATCAAGATAATATAATAGGCTTGATTTGTCCGTTAGACTCTATTACTAAAATGAAGAGTTAGTAAAAATTACAATTAGCTCAACAATTAAAAAAAAAACAACAACAGCGGAACTGAAGCAACTGGTCTGCATTTCTTTGTTACTCATTTGGTATTTGATTGCCGGTAGTTGGTGATCGATCTGGTGAAGATGCTGAGAGGTTAGGAAGAAGCTGAAAGCTGCTCTGGTGCAAGGATCAGTCCTCAACCTCAACACCATGTCTCATTCCAGTTTCTCCCCCACAGATGACATCATCACCTCAAAGTTTCTTAATCGAAGATGTCACCTTCATCTTTGAAGTACTAGTGCGTTTCTTATAAGATGAAGTACTGGTACATTTCTTATACTATTTTTTGCCTTCAGTTCTTATTTCATCCCAAATGATTAGAGAACGAAGGACAGTCTCAAGATCAAAGCTTCATTCCTTTTAGTCACACAATATATTATGCACTTCAACCCCGAAAAACTGTCGGGTCAGACTTATATTATATAAAAAAGAGTAATGATATACTCTGTCAAAACTAGTGTTCAGAGCACAAACACTTAAAAAAAACAAACACGGGATTCTGATTGGTTAGCCCACAAATTATCTTTTACAAATAGAAAATGTCTTAGAAATCCTACAACAGAATTTAAAATCCTATCAAATAAGAGCTTTTACTTGTAGATTGTAGAGGATGTCTAAGAAATCCTAAAACTGAATTTAAAATCACATCAGATAAGAAATCCCATAATCAAATTTATAATCCAACCACAGAATATAAAATCACACCATATAAGAAATGCTACAACAGAATTTAAAATCCCATCAAATAAGAACTTGTACTTGTAGAGGATGTCTAGGAAATCCTAAAACTGAATTTAAAAATCCCATAATCAAATTTAAAATCACACGAGATAAGAAATACAACAACAGAATTTAAAATCCCATAAGAAACTACTGGAGATTTTGTCTCCTCTCCTGCACCTCCAATTCTAATCTTCTATCCTAGATATAAGCGGGCGTAACCCATCTCCCCTATCTTGTACTCAACCATAGAAGGCATGTCCTTCAAGATGTTGACAGTTATTGTATCAGTGAATGGCGCCGCCGTAGTGAAAGAATTCATCAACATTAAAGAAAATGTCAGGCTCGCTGTCTCATTCATCTCTATAAAAATTGCTTCCTCAGGCTGTATACATGACATAAACCCATCAGTCTGCAGTTTTAATCCATGAAAGCTTGCTATACATAATATTTTTTTCATACAGAGTGAGTCCACAAGAAAGAATTTACTGCTAGTGTATCAGATTATTATACACGTGTTCAACTCAAGATGGCAATGAAGATGTTACCTTGTTGACATCAAAATTCTGCTCCCTACAGACTATAATTGAAGTCCCTAATTCTCCTTTGCTGCTAAATTCCGCAGCCCCCTCGATAATCTTAATGGTAACTACAATTAATACAAAACAGAAACACAACAAATTTAATTACCAAGTGAAAGAACCAACAAGAAACATTAGAAAGCATAAAAACAATAAAAGCAAGATAGTTCGAACCAGTGTCCCCAATAGAAGTCAGTTCACTACAAAATCTTAAAAACACAGTAGAAGGCATCTTAAGAATGGCAGGGGTCTCTGTCTCAATAATGGCGCGGTACTCTGCCTCCAGAATATGCAATTGGTAATCGGGATCCATACTCATCTTCTTCATCCTAATCTCATATACCTGATTTTGCCCTATAATACACATCACACAACATTACCAATGTTTAGAAAAACATAAATTTTGAGTGGAAGAGAATGTGATAAATAATCATACTTTGAAAGATGAATTTGACATAATCGACGGCGTGAAGGGCTTCTATAGTGACCATGTCATCATCCAAGGAAAAATCAAAGATCTGAGATATAGAGTTGAGGTTGATGCCGAAGTGGATGGTGTCGTTGCAGTGGTAATGTTGGAATGCATCGGAGGGGAGGAAGATAACTACCATTACCCTCTCAGAAGGATTGCCAGCTAGCAGGGATAAGCCTCTGGAGGAGAAAACGAAGTTGACACCTTCCCCTTCCCTTGCCACACTCCTTAGGACCTCTATCACCTTCTTCAAGGCTGAACCTTGCACTAGACTAACTTTCAGCATCTTCCTACCCTTTCTTCTTTCTTTCTTGTTCCTGTTTTTTCAATCTATCACTCACAAGCAACAAGCAAGACAAATGAGAAACAGAGAAATGCAAATGTAAATGGAATGACATCAATTGAGTTTTTTCATATTTATATTCTGAGGTTTGAGCAGGTAGGTTTTGTTCGTTGCCTCAGTTCCCGCGGTTATTCTTCTTTTAAATTTGTTGACCTAATTACATTTTTTTTTTACTAATTGTCCATTTTAGTATTAGATTGTAATTGAAAAACTGATATCTTTTTATTCTTCTAATATAAATGGTTTGAGCTAAATAGGCCATGTCATAAAATCAAAAGATAAATATTTAATTCATCAAAATCAATAAAACCAAGATTAATTAAGTTTAATTAATTAACATAAATTCAATTTCTTATGATAATATTCATTAAATATAATCATTATGACACTATATCTAGTATAAATAAGAAGTAAGATGGACGTGCAATGGATGTGCATAAGATTACATTGATTTTATTAATCTAAAGCCTGATTTATTCATAATATAACACGGTAAAAAGTATAAGCATTTTTCTATTATTAATTGGCAATTACATAGAAAAAACAACAAACTCAAGTATCAATTTTATACTTACTCTAACCACTAATAAATCACGTCATCTATATCTGAAACTTCTAATAAAAAAATTGTTCAAGTAAATTTATAAATATATTTACGATTTGCTATTTATTTTTACACTACATGTATTCAATAAAGTAATAATTTGTTTGTTTTTTAATGTCCATGGTAATAACCCTTAAACGGAATATAATAACACTTGGTATTTATTAGATGAGTTCAAATTTTACATTCCTTTCTTATAAATGTGTTTATTTATTATGTGTAAAATAGATTTTGAAGAATTTGATGATAGAAAAATTATCACAAAAAATTGTAACAGTTTTTTATAAATAAATGGAACTCTTTAAGCATGCTCTTGGTCATATACTTTGACAAACATATAATACAACAATAAATTTAAAGGCCATAAATGTTCTTAATTTAATATAGAAATATAGTTTGAATTAATATTTTTATACCCGAAAATAATTCAACATGATATTATTAATCTATTAAATTCATTCACCACGAATTTCTGAAATTTTTTACCCATAGTAATTTCAATGATTATACAAGAATAAAAATATGAATTATAGATCTATCTAACTTATTTTATTGAAGTTATGAATTAATTTTATATAAATACTGTTTTAATTAGAGATGGGAGTATCAACGTCATATCAACTATAATATAATAATATTGTTAGAGTCAATTTTCATATTTGAAGTATTGTTTGTTCTAGAGTTATTGTTTGTTCTAGAGCTCTTATCTATCATTGTTTTGTCTTTTAAAAACAATCTTGATAAATTAAGAAATGAGATTGTATATAAATTATTATTAACAAATACGAGAATCATAAATATATTAAAACAAATATAAAACACATTTTTACGAACACTAAATTATGTACATGAAAAAAAATATAAAGTAACATGAATAAAAAAAAATGGAATAAGACCAAAATGAAAAATAACCTGCAAGAATAATCACCTTTTTAACTTTTAAAACTCATAAGATTTCATAAAAAAAAATTTCGTACTCATAAGAAAACTTATATGATTTTTATAAAATAATTTTATTTCATTCAAAATTGTTAAGGAAATAAATGAGATTTCTTGGTAGACATAAGGCATCAAATTAAACCTAGTTCAACAAAACAAATTGTCATTGATTTTAATTTTTTTCATTAATTTTGTTACAAGAAGAAAATAAAAAACAAATCTAAAATCTTTTTGTAAGTGAAATCTAAAATCATGTTTGTTTTCCACACTGACACGTATCTTTGTTTAGTCAAGCTATCCATAACTCACTTTGCATCCCACTTTCAACGGAGATGAGAAGATTTACAAACTTATTTCTATAGGTTTTAGATGAGAAGGAGTATTATATTCTTTTATATAATTTATTAGTGTAAAATTTGTAAATATTTTTTGATATTACTTGTCTTTAAAAATACTCAATAATGGTATAAAATCAATAATTCTTTGAGAAGATACTTCGGTTAAAATACATAAGTTAAAAAAAAACGAGTCTTATTATATAAAATAATTATAAAGATTATTATCAAAATACTTCGGTTAAATAAAGAATATATATATTATAAAAGAGAATCCCATTTAATAGTGATTATTTGAGAAAGATTATTAGAATCTAATATAAATTGAGATTTTATATCATGTAAAAATAAAAATTAAGGAACTTACAAATAAGAAAAACCAATAAATTATTTTCTTAATTTTTGTTTTTATTTTGTCGAAGGCTGACAAATATTCAACATAGAGCATCATTGTTATCTTCTATTTCTACCTTGCTACAACAGAACAATTTTTTGAAAAATACAAGGTTTGTTACAAAAACTATTTTAAAGTCTCAATCAAATATTAAAGATTAAAAATCTTTATTTTAAATAAAAAGTGAAGTTTATTGTAAACAATATAAAGATTGAATTAGAAAAAAACAAATACAAATTTACTGCAAACAAATTATCCACTAAAAATATAAACTAAAATTTTAAAATATTGTCCAGCATGACAAAGGCAGATTGTAAGTGCAAAACATCCTTTTTATAATTAAAACCAAAAGTGGAGAGCATTTAATTTCCTTCATTCTTAAAATTTATTGAAGTGGAGTCGATATAATTTGCAAACATCAAAGATTCCCTTGTCAACTTGTAATTGGCAGCATGAAAACAAAACACAAAGAAGTCCAAACATCAAAGCTTTATTCCTTTTAACACACAACATGCATCATCAGCACCAGCAATGCCAGATTCTATATTTCCACAAAATATACATCTATTGTGAAAACTCACAAAAATATCTTGTGCACAAGAAATCCCACAAGGGAATTGACCTAATCTTGAGGGTTTTGCTCTTCGTTCTGGACATCCACCTCCTCCTCCTCCTCCTCTTCTATCTTAGGAGCCAAATAAAAGCGAACATAACCCTTCTCAGCAATCTTATACTCAACCATAAGAGGCATGCCCATTGACAAACCGATGGTGACTGTACTAGACAACCGCGTTGCCTTTGTGAAAGAGTTCAAATATCTCAATGAAAATGCCTGGGACACAGGCTCATTCATCTCTATCATAGTGTCTTCTTCAGCCTGCATTGCATAATTCCCCATCAGTTTGCAGTTTAAGAATCCTAACAATATTAAGATGCTACTGTTACCCTCTCCACGATGTTATTCCCAGTGCAAGTTATATTGGCAACGAAATCTGCTTTGGTGGTAAACTTGACAACACCTTGTTGAGTAACCGATATGAAAACTACAGCAACAGAAAGATGAAAATTAATGAAGCAGAAAGAAAACGAAATCAAAGAAAAGGGTAGGATTCTATAGGAAGCAAACCAGTGTCCCCTATAGAAGAGAGGCCTTTGATAATTCTTGAAAACTCAGAAGAAGGCATCTTCACAGTGGCGTTGTACACAATATCCTCGGAAATAAAGAACGGGTCATGCCTTACCACCATCACACTCATCCCAAACTCAGATATAATGTGTTGTGCTATAAGAAACACACAAATCTTTATCATTTTATTGAGGAAGAAAAGGGAAATGCAGAACAAGGTTTGGAAAGAAACGCACTGGGGCTTTCGAAGATGAAGGTGAGGAGGTTGGGTTCGTCGTCGGAACGGAGCTTGACGATGTCGTCGGTGGCCGCGCAGCGGAGGACGGTGGCCATTTTGTTGAGGTTGACGGCCATGGTGAGGGGGCGGTCGCAGCGGAAGTGCTGGAAGGCGTCGGGACGGAGGAGGAAGGCGGCGAGGGCGAGGAAGGAGGAGTCCATGGCTAGGAGGGAGAAGCCGGAGGTGGTGGAAAACTCTATGTTGGCTTCCTGCACCACGTCCCTTACGGCGTCCACCACCTGCTTCAGAAGTGGAGCTTGCACGTCACCAAGCTCCATCATCTTCCTTCTTTCTTACTCTTTCTTTCTTTCTTTCTTTCTCTCTTTCTTGTTTCTATTTTCTTAGATCAACACAAACAAGGCTAACAGAAATGGAAATGAGAATGAAATGAAGGCGAAGTGAAACTATGAAGTATGAGGAACTAATAAAAGCTGAAGTCATCTCATAATAATTGTCATTTTTTTAATAGGAAAAAGGGTTTGGGTCACCTTGAGGTAAGGTGCATCCTAATGAAAAAAAAAATAGTAAAAAATAATAATTTCGTTGTAATACGAAAAATGACAAAAAAAGGGTTGTTATTTTTCTATTTTAATAAAAATATTTACTTTCCTTTATATAAACCTTTGTATAAACAGAAAAAGAGTATAAAAGATATATATATATATATATATATATATATATTATTTTACAAAATTATTCTATTATTAAACGTAAAAAAATAATTTTATAATTATATAAATATTAAATAATAATTTTCATTCACTCTTGTTTCATTTTTTCCTTAAACAAATAGAAATATTTTTTTATTTTGTTTTATCTTCCTTTCTTTCCTTTTATTTTTTTTTACATTTTTTTCATTATTATCGAACAAAACTTTAGTATTTCTCGTGCCACACGATGACTTAATAAATATTTTATAAATAAATCTTGCAAAATTATGATAAATAAATCTCCTATAAAACTATGATATATTATGTAATTTTCCATCAAATTACATCTTTGGTTAATTTCGCTTTTTGCCTAGAAAACCACATAAAAAAATAGATAAATTTAGGAAGCATAGTTTTCTGTTTCGATAATTCATTTCATTTTTTTAATATATTACTTGCTAAATTTATTTTGCATAATTTTTTATTAACTTTATATTAACTATACACTCATGCACTTTTTTTATCTGAATAAATAATTGTTGAAGTAATTTTTTACACAAGAAAACACCTATTGGTTGAAATGTAATAATGACTTGAAAATAAAATAATTAAACTAGATGCAACATAAAAGTCATATTTTAAACTGTTTAATTTAATAGGTATTTTTAAATAATTTAAATGTTAGTATGATTTAGTCAAATAAAAAACAATTGATCAGATGTATAATAAAAAACAATTGAGTTCTTAGTCACAAATATTGTCTCAAAAAATAACATGGTTAAAGTAGTAGTGGTATAACATGGTTCCTCAATAAATTGTCTTTGGACAGTTTGATTATAAGATTGTGTTTGTGGTGAATCTGAAAATGCCTTCCTTTCTGCTCCCTTAAACACTTGATCCCTTAAACACCCTACCACTCCAACCTTACTTTCTGCTCCAAATCACCAAACAGTGACTCCTCCATCACAAGGGTCCATTGGACTTCGTGTCAGGTTGAGGAGGGAAGAGAGGTTGTTATCCATGCAGAAACTCTCGTGGTCGAATCCTTGGAACATTTTGCGGAGGATGTAGGACTCGGCGGTGGCAGAAGATGCTTCGATGGAACGAACCGCAGCAGCCATGTCCCAGTGTTCATCGTGCATGAGCCAGAAAAGTAGAGATGTGAAAGACTTGGATGCTCACGTACGCACTCTTCATGATATTGCTTCGAAAACGTCCTCCATCAACGCCCTCATCTCCTTCAACTTCTTTTCTCCTCTTGAAACCTTCAAACCCACCCAGGTCGTCTGCATACTGCAACATTTGGTGTGAGTGTCCGAAGAGTACCTCCTCATACTAGCAGTTAAGAAGGACTTATAAGTCAAAGAGCAACTAGCAGCCACCCTAACACAAACACAGAGATTTGATACCACAAATAGAGGAACAATTAAGAAGCATGCCTAGAGGAATGGAGGCGCGAGTTTGAAAACCGAATGGAGTCCATGGGTATCTCATAACAAAATCAAGTACCATAAGAGAATGTACCTCTTACTCATAGTCGTGTTAGTACAAAAGGTAATGTGGATGAGGATGACTCATAAATATGTTAGAGAGAATGTACCTCTTACTCATGGTCATGTTAGTACAAAAGGTAGTAACGTGACTCATAATGTGGATGAGGATGACTCATAAATATGTTATCGGTATAAATTGTTTATAGATGGAGATCCTCCTCATTTTCATTTTGTGGCTTTGGAAGAGTGTATGGAGGGTCCAAGTTACACTAAATGGCATTGGATACAGGTTAGAAAGGAGTAGTGGTTGAATATATTAAAGATATTACTGTCACTGTTCCTATGTCTACAAATTAGGTTCAATTTGTGGGACAAATCCTTCTACATTCATTACATGACTTACACGTTTAATTCAACTAATTTCTAAGAAAAATAAGATATGTAATTAACCATTAGATGCAACACTTTTTGGTATGGACAATAATAATATACCTTTGTACATAATCATGTATGATACATTTGAAATAATATAGGATAACTAAATATTGAACATTATGGTAATTCACTTATAGATTATGTACGTACGTTCTAATACTAAATTTTATTGAGATGATACATTATCTTAAATTTATGTTGACAATATGGATATGTCAATCAATTAATTGTGAGCATGAGAAATGTTTTTATATGGCTTCTTTTAGTCTCCAATCATACAAAAGTTTGGGATTAAAATAAAAAAAGAATGTTAAACCTATATCCAATGGTGGATTCAAGACAGGCGAATGACAATTTACATGGCTGTATGTATTAACTTGTAAGTACAATATATATTTGTTACATATTTATAATATAATAATATATTATTATTAATCAATCTCTTATTTAGGTCATTAGCAATTAATGGTATAATTCGGATGAAGAATAATGTTGTGTGATTTTGTTTATTTCATAAAAAGTCAATTAGAGATTTCAAAACTTTAGTATAAAGATATTATTTTAATTATCTCTTTTGTATTTTATCATAGTATTATAAATTATTAATTACTAATATTTCATTTTATATAGTATTGTAAATGTGTGTAATATCTTAGACAGTAGATCCACTTCATCATCGCATAATCTACGATTTATTTATCCTAAGGTATATAATTCTACATCAAAATTGTTCATAATATGTTTTATAATTTGTAAATAATTAAATTTTAATAATTGACATATTTCGTATAGTAAACAACAAGGAAATTATGAGTGTGGATATTACGTCATGCATCAGATGTGGACTATAACTCGTGTGTCTATTATGGATTCATGAGATTAGATAATAAATACTTTAAATTATTTACCATATTATGTGATTTCAAATATAACACTTATAGTATATTTATTATAGATTTTTGCAAACAAGGAGTCACTGGATTACATCATCATTGAAGGATAAATACAATAGTGGACTAAATTTTTCTTAAGTTTTAGGAATATTGGTGGATTAATGTAGTTTTCATAGGATAATTTATGGACCTAATTATTAATATATGTGTATTTTTCCTAGATGACATTGTACATGAATTGAATTGTATTATATATGAATTGCTATATTTTTTTATATATAACATAATGAGCAATAGGTCGGATAGAAGACCATAAAAGCTCACGTGATTGTATCTAAAGTAATAATCATAAATATTTATTTTGTTTTTTTTTACTAACAAACTAATTAAATTTTTATATTTCGAGTAACAATGTAATGGACAAAAATTGAAGGATATAAATGTGGTTATTATGTAATGTAATGGATGACAATCATTGTTCAAATAGGAATAGATAGAGGTTGGGATAAGGTAAAACAAATATTTCTTTAAGAATAATTATGCATCAAAAAGTTTGTTATAATTATACTTATGAAAAGGTATTTTAAATATTGTAATTTTGACACATTTTCCATAGATACAAATGTCATATATTAGACGCACATAGACAACATACTTCATTAACTTGATTAATACAATACGATAGTTAAGTTTTTGTTAAAATAATATTATGTATATGATCATGACTTTTTGGTTGAATATTAGGATAATTGACTAATTATTCTTGTATATTATGATAATTGACTAATTATTCTTATAGATATTTATAATGACTTTGTAAAATTCTAGTAAAATTAATATTAGATATCAACTATTATATATGTTTATGATTGATTACGTAGGATAAATATGTTAAAAATCTGCATTGTACTATACTAGATTGATTGAATATGCAGGTAATGGGCTAGTTGAATATGCGATAGAGCCATGAAATAGCTTGCTTATTTAAAAAAATAAAACATAAAATCAAGATATGATGATGGTAACAATCATCATAAGCATGTTTCACGTAAGGATTTAATAATAGGTATGGTCAAACCCGTCGTTATATGTCAAAATACGTTAGTGATTATTTATAAATAATCATCATTGTATCTTGACATACAACGATAATCCTCACCCGTCGTTGTATCTTTCATATATAACGACGACCCTGTTAAGTGGTAAAAAGTTGATATAATTATGCCTTGAATTGTTATGGAACCACTTAACTTATGTTAATTCTAATATATTTTTCTCCCAATAGGATGAATTCGAGAATACCTTGATACAAGAGTAAGGAGCACAATTGTCAGCATAATTGGAGTAAAATTAAAAGAAAGAAGAACGCTTAAGCGAATGAATGATGCGAGACCCGACCCAAATTCACTACTACAAATAACGCTTTCAACGTCGGTTCTGGAAGGCTTTCAACGTCGGTTGTTCAACCGACGTTGAATCAGGCGACGTTGAATGTCAAAGGATTCTACGTCGGTTCCAAATACCCGACGTTGAAAGTCATTTCTCGCTCAAGCGACCCGTGTACTCGCTTGAGCGACGAAGCCTTCAAACATAGGGGCTCTCGGGTGCTGCTTCGCTCAAGCGAGTACACCGGTCGCTTGAGCGAGAAATGACTTAAGTGTTAGCCATCTACGTCGGTTAGACGATTAACCGACGTTGCAAGCCATCTCTCGCTCAAGCGATCGGTGCACTCGCTTGAGCGACGACACCTTCAAACATAGGGGACTCTCGGGTGCTGTATCGCTCAAGCGAGAAAACTGGTCGCTTGAGCGAGAGATGACTTAAGTGTTAGCCATCTACGTCGGTTAGACCAATAACCGACGTTGAAAGTCATCTCTCGCTCAAGCGACCGGTGCACTCGCTTGAGCGACGACACCTTCAAACATAGGGGACTCTCGGGTGCTGTATCGCTCAAGCGAGAAAACTGGTCGCTTGAGCGAGAGATGACTTAAGTGTTAGCCATCTACGTCGGTTAGATCAATAACCGACGTAGAAACGCTTAGTATATCTGCTACTACGTCGGTTATTGCCACAACCGACGTAGAAAGTCTATACTTTTTTTTAAATGGACGCTTTTTTTATACTGGTATCCCAATGTTTTTGTATATACAGTTCCTGCAAATTTGAATACAACCCAGGCAGACAATGTACAAGATATAAACTAATTGAATTTCATCCAAAAATAAAATTGTATACAAAATAAAAATGTATCCAACTACTTATCTACCAAATACACTAACTACTAATGTAACTAATAAACTAACTAGTAAACTAACTAAACTAACAACTAAACTAACTACTAAATTAATAACTAAACTTGCCTACTTCTAACTTTAACAAACTTATCGGCCCAAGTGTTTCTAATATCGTCAATGGTCTCTATGGGCAATGCTTCCCTGTCCGAAAATACCATTACAAGAAAAAGATAATTTAACGAGATATCCAATGACACAATACTTGGGTTTTTATTGAATACTAAATTTAAGCAAACCCGATTCCATGTATCCTCGGTCTTGCTAACAACAATCAGCCACATCCGAGTGCATAACATAGTATCCGCACTCATAAGATCCTGGTTGCCTATTACACTACAAAAAATAATATATTAATTTGACATATAAAATGAATGATAATTAATACATAAATATAAAATGACTTACATTAACAAAAATCCAATGCGAAGTCGTGCTTTTGCTTGTGTGTACTCCATCAATTGTATTGCAAACCTTAAATGCACTTGTGCAATACAAGATAATAATGAAACAATTAAGTAACAAAACAAGTAATAATTGTTTAAATTATTATAAGAATGTGTACCTGTTTACAATGTTTTTAAGATCTGCATCGGGTTTCTTGCCCAATGAGCGGAACCAAGCCACAACGATTACGCTTTGGGCAAACAACCAACAACTGCCAATGATTTACGCTTACATTACAAAAAGTTAGGATACATACAATACACTATAAAATTTAATGCGAATAATTTCATACGGTTAAATACTTACTGATGGAAGTAAGCACCCAAGTAAACTTTCTTCCTTGACTTCATCATCCAATTTTGGATGTATATTTGAACTTCTTCTCTCTTGTTTCCTGATTTTTGTATGGATTGGGGCTCAAAAAATCCATACACATCTTGGGTGCCTTGTTCCTCCGACAATTCATTCATCATCCTAAAGTAGCCAGTTAAATGTACATTAAATATGACGATAACTTCAAATAACAATTAGTAAATAAAAATAAAATACTTACATTGTCCAAAATTGTAACACTTGCTATGTTTAGACATCGATTGCCAACTGCTATCTCCACGAGCATCGGTGTGGTCAATGTAAAGGGGAAAGTTCTTATTGTCTACCCCTAACTTATCAACATCCCACTTCACTTGAAAAGATTGAATATACAACTGTGGGACAACAGATAGTAGTTGAAAAATTGGATT